ATTTATCATGTGTTAAGTCAGAATCAAAGTCCAAAATCTGCACGTGTGAAAAATTTGGTTAGTTATTCCTTGACTCACAAGATTTAATAAACTGCACACATGAGCTTGCAAAATCTACCCTAATTGCATACATTGACAGCATGATTTTGATGTGCAGTTTACTAAAAGCTCATCATCATTGTTGAGATTTTTTTTTTCGTGGCAAACCTTAATTAATTGAGCTAAAGAAATGAAAAATAATACTAAGTACCAATCTTGAAAATTGACTAAGTTTTTTTCAGGTTTCTATGTAGAAATAAATTTTAAAAAATTCTAAGTCCAAACTGTCCACTTTTCCAGGATTTTTCATGCTGAAAAAATTCAGTGTCCAAGATGTTCATTCTTTTACATGGTTTTCTATGCTGAAACAATTCCAAGTCCAAACTGTTCATGGTTTTCCAGGCATGTCCAGCATTTTTATACATAATGTCCAGGGTTTCCATGCTAAGTTCTGAAAAATATTTCATTTTCCTACTGTTTTCCAGGGTTTTCCATGGTATTACATCCTTTGTCAGAGCATACTATGGAAAAAGTACAGCTGGGCATGTATTGCTTCATTTTTATTTCCTGCATCTGAAGATTTGGAGTAAATGCATAGCATTAAGACAAAAATGTTAAATCTACATGAATATATTATATATATATATATATATATATATATATATATATATATATATATATATATATATATATATATATATATATATATATATATATGTAGATGCAATAAACTGACGACGAACAGTACGAAACTAGTAATCAACTAGCCTAAGCGCTTTCGACTCTTAATGAGTCTTTTTCAAAGGCAAATACAAAACATAGTTACGACAAACTTTGTCGTAACTATGTTTTGTATTTGCCTTTGAAAAAGACTCATTAAGAGTCGAAAGCGCTTAGGCTAGTTGATTACTAGTTTCGTACTGTTCGTCGTCAGTTTATTGCATCTATTTTAATTAATCCCTGACACACGTGATCCCTTGGTGGATCCAGTACGCTTGAGAGGGTTGTTATTCGCCATATGATTTGTATTCTTTATATATATATATATGTATATATATATGTATATATATATGTATATATATATATATATATATATATATATATATATATATATATATATATATATATATATATATATATATATATATATATATATATATATATATATATAACCACTTGGCAATGGTGATAGTAGTCTCTTCCATTCCCCAGTTGTTGGCACTGGCAGAAAGGTAATATGGTGTTTCCATGCCAATTAAATTGCCATACTAAATGTTTCCTCATGGACTAGTAAGCATAGTTCAATTTTAAAAGGTTTGTCAAATTTGAGTAATTTTTTTAACTATTCACAAAGCTATATTAAGAATTTAGAATACACCATCTGTATTCCTGTACAATGCATCTTTGTCAAGGAGAGAAAGTTCCCTTGTGACCCAGGGAAAGCAGTTTTAAAGTGGAGTACTCACCCATAGATGCAATTTAGAATTTTCTCATCATTTTCATATGAACCATGTGAAATCAATGTACTCTGGCATGTATTTTGTTAAATTGTCTTTCCTGGGTACAATGTATATTTTAAGTGGAACAGTCCTAAACATGTATTGAATGACATTAACAACATTTTCATGGAAAACATGAGTTAAACTCCATTGTCAACTAAATAGGTTTTTAATAACTTTAACAACATTTTGTTTTCTCATTCTTGACATCATTTTGCAAAGCAATTATTGTAGGATAAGCTAAAGTGAAAATAAACTTGATAATGGGCTAGGATTTATGAAGTCTATAATTCTGTATTCATTAATAAATAAAAATTGTTAAGTAAAAGAAGAACTTTGTTCAGTTAGACTTAAAATAATTCTCATTTAAGTTTAAAGCAATATTCAAAATGATAATGAAGAAATTCTTATTTTTGATGTGTTTATTCCCAAAATAGTTCTGGTTGTAGGGATCACACTGACTGAAGAAAATTAGTGTGCTTTTTCTTCCCTTCAACCAAGACTTTGATGGATTTGGATCATGCTTGAAATGAGATCATTGACATGCCTATTTGCCCTATCGCTCTTTGGGTCAAGGTAACAGTAATGGACAGTTTGCATTGGGGTTTAATTGGTGTTTTGTTATTTGCTTATATTTTCTAAATCTCCTAATTTAGTACACTTGTACTGAATTATTATGAAACTAAGCATAAAAAATTAACCTTTAACTCAAAGAGCCAATATTTAAAATCATACAATGGGCTGCTCAGTCTTGATGAAAATTGAGATAAAATTAACCAACCTAAATTTTGTGTGAATCGAGATAATCAAGCAGAGTTGTAGAAAACTATAGTTTGTGATGTTAGAGCATGAAGTTGAAACATGTAATTTTCATGTAATGTTTCATGGTAATTATTTTTTTTTATAAATTATACATTTTTCATACAGGAAGATATTAGAATTTCATTGTCACCTGCAAGAACTTTGGGAAACAGGTAGGTTTTCATATTTATAATTGATTTTTTAGCTGATTCATTAGATGGGACTTTAATAGTGCAAATAGTCGCAGACAGTATACTGAAGAATGATAAAAAAAATTGTTCCCTCAAATCAAGTATGGATAGTAAGAACTTTGGATAAGTGCTTTGTTTGTCATTTAAGGTTGTCAACAAACAGTTTTAAAGAAAGTAAACAAAAATGTTTGATCACCTGCTTATCTATTTTGTGTGCATACAAGAAATATAGATTTTTTTTTAAATAATGAGTAACAAAACTCACCATTTTTTTATGTTTAATTGACCAAAATACTTCAGAAACTAAATATATAGCTTAAAAATACCATCAACTTGTCAATAGCAGCTAGTCTTTGGAAAAGGCAAAAGTGACCTTTGTACATGACCTCTGTATACAATTTCATCAGATATGACTGAATACTGGCCTTTATTTTCTCTTCATAAATTTCTCAATATCAGGCAAACATATCATTCACTCCTATTTGGACTTTCAAGAACCTTGTGGCATTGGGGTACATTTTCTCAAATTGAACCATTGTTGATGCAATCTCGCAGAATGCATGTGTCATCTCCTTTGTTTTAAATGTCGTGGCTCTTTTGGTTCTTGACAGGCTTCGGTCCATATGGCTTCTGCAACCATCACTGCTTACTCAAGGTCTTCCTTTGGTAATTTGTTCCTATGCGACTCAATTAACTCTTTCATGTCATTCACATCAGCTGAAATTCCAGCTGCTCAGCAAGTTGCAAAATTTTCTCTTCAGCTTCTTCATAAGTCTTGCCTGTATGTCTCATACCAGGCTCAAACCAGGGTCACATCTTTTTCCAAACAAAATTTAAACATTTTTGCATAACCTCTTGCCACACTTTTGCAGTGCTCAGAATGCCATGATAAACATTGCATTACTTTTAGAAATCTCATAGTGTCCTGTCGGTGTTTCATGAGGTCCAGTGCATGCACGAAAGTCATGTATATTATCCCCTGGTCCATTTGGTGGATAAGCGAAGCCATGTTGGGTGGCAGAAGATGACTTTGACATCAGGATGAAAATCAAAATGCACAGGATTACCAGGGGCATTATTAGGAAACAAAATCATGTCAATATTTTCTCAACTTCAGGGATAAAACATTCAATGAATCAGTCTTCAAAAAAATGAATAGTGCCAAGCTTTTTAATTGGAACAATTATAAACAGGAAAAGTTGTCTTACTGATATTTCTGATACCCTTCAAGGCATGTGGGTTCTCAGGTAAACAAGCAATAGTTGAGGCCAACCCACAAGTAAAAAATTTAGTCTGTCTTTTGAAAAGTTATTGTGAATGCTTGGGGGAAAATTGCACAGTCTAAATTATATTTGCCAAAGCTAATCTAATCAAATTTCATTGGATGCAAATTTCAACAAGAGTTATCTATGTGGAAAGAGGTATGAAGAAAAATGCTTCAACACAGTTTAAAAGATTTTTATATAGAATATAATTTCTCAGTGTAAAATATTGAATGCACTTGGTTTCTAGTTTTTTTAGTTTATGCAATGTTACGTTTCTGAAGGAAATATATCCCAATGTTTGACCTATGGGGTAATATGTTATTGAAAAGAATCCAGAATAGTTATCAAGACAGTAAGTAATGCAGGGAGGGTGTTGAATACCTAACGGCATGCTTAGAGTGAATGCCCAGTTTTGGAAAACAGAATCGTGTACAAACTGTTTTGTTGGAATTGAAAAGGTTTAGTGGGTCTGTTTTTAAAATTTATTAATAGAAACAGCTGTAATTGTAATATTATTTATTTGAACAAACCAAATTTCAGAAGGATTTTTGCTGGTTCACATGCTGGATTTTTACATGGTTGCATAACAGGTCTGACCAGAAAGATAGAGAAATTTTATTTTGGATTACACGAGATGATATCAATCCCAGTTTTTGACATAATTTGTGAAGAACGCCAATGTATAAGGTCATTGCTTTGGTAAACATGTTCAAGGAATTCAAGATTCTGAAATTGAATGCACCATTTATTCAGACTGGACCATGAATTTTGCTGACTGTGCACATGTATGTATAGGCCCATAGGAAGATACGATAATTGTATGCATGTTAATTACTTGTAACTAACATGTTTTCCATTCCAGATAGGCTGCCTAATGTCATAAAAATGTTAGGATTACTGACAAGTATGCTCATAGTCTTGGTAATTTGATTAATACTCCACTAAAACCTGTGTATGTAAAATTGTTGAGAATGGGTTGATCGGTTTTATTCATTACTGTATGATTACTGTTATACTCACTTATTTGTCAAGTCAGATTGCAAACAATAAAGATTCTGATCATTTGCATCATAATGTGCTGATTATTGTTCTATTGTATACTCCTAACCAACTGCACAAAACTTATGCAATAGCAGATCTGGGTCAGTGCAGGAGGTTGCATTTGGAAACATATTTTATGTCCTTACTTACAAAAGTATAAAACTGCTCCAGTGGCCTAGTAGTTAGAGCATCCATCTCAGATGCAGGAGGTCGTGGGTTCGATCCCCAGTCGAGTCATACCACAGACTTACAAAAATGGTACTAACAGCTGCCTTGCTTGGTGCTCAGCATTAAGAGGTTAGTGTTAGGACTGGTCGGCTTGGTGTCAGGATAATGTGACTGGGTGGGACATCATGATACATGTCTGCGGCATGATGCCCCAGAGCTAGACATCACTATAAACTGCCACACTGCAGACATCATAGCGATAAGACTGAAAAATTGTTAAAGCTACATTAAACATCATAATCTTATCACATCATACACAAAAGTATAATAATTATTAGTGTTTAATGGTAACCTGTCGTATGTAACAGGTACAGCAGTGAGGTCTAAAATGAACAATTTGATTATTGCATATATAGATGAATAAAGGAATGGATCATATAAAATATTGGCCTTTATGACCTTTGCAGAGCATCGACTTATAACCTGACAAATGCTGTTACTAATAATATCTTTGATCATCTAATTGTATCATCCAGGTTGTTTCTTACTTCATGAAAAAATATTCTTGAAAGTTGATGCAGAGAAATTTTCTTGAGAGGACGTTTGCTATTAAGAAAAATGGCCTATTTTTCTCCACAGCTCCACAGCAATTAATTTTGAAGGTGGGAAATGAAAAGACAGCAAAGAATCTTTGCCCAGCAGTTGAAGTAGTCTGTCAGTTATGTTTTCTCACCTTTTATCAAGATCACCCATTGCATCCCTAAAGCGTAATGGTTCACAGGGCCTCCACCTTGCAAATATTTTGCTTTGCGCCATGAAATTTGCCAGATTTAAAAAGTTGGAGCCACTTTCAGCTGTATGAGCCATTTTATGCCATGATTCAGTGGGTTGATATATCCAGATAAGCCCTATTCTTAATTGGTATAAAAAATGACAATAAAATATTTTACATGTTGTTATTAAGTTTCAAAGCACAAGAATAATTTTTAATAAATATAACAATACCATTATATACATGTAAAGTTCAATGTATAGCATATGAAAAGCAAGAATGAATGTTTCTTTACAACTGATAATACAAATTAATGCTTAGTCTTTATGAACAATGTCACTGACACGTCATCAATATCTGCCTCATTTTGTTTTCCAATACCATTTCTTAAATGCATTCCTGAAATCAAAATTCTCAACACAGGGCCCATCAATAGAAATGCTTATTAAATTTTTCAGGGTAGAATTTTTAAAGTTTGTTCTTATCTGATTCTAGCAACTGAACTCTCTGACAGTGTGCAGTAGAATTAGGGACAACAAGTAACCTGTTAATTGCTTTGGATGCAGCTAGATAAAAATGGTTTTGAGAGCTAGATTAGCTATATTCTTTGTACTTGATACGAACATGATTTACAAAGTTATTTTTTATTTTTTCATTGATATAAGCCTCATCATGTGTTATTCAGTTAAATTCAGGTCACAAAAATATGTTATCCTAGTAAAAAATCCATATGACACTAAGCAGTCCCAAGTGCATCTTACAGTTTGCAATAAACATTATTAACATCATGTGCAAATGACACTGAATCTTTTTGCTGACCTGTACAACAATAGATTATATCCCTCAGTCATTCTTTATTTCCTACTAATCACATTTAAGTGCTTTTCAGAACTGACTGATAGCTTGCAGTTAGCTGCATCATGTTTGAATATCTTTTTCAACATTTGCCAACATGACCCACTGACTGCCAGATAGTAAAAACAGGTATTAAGTGGCCCATGTCACTTACATCAATTAAAAATTAAAAAATTACTTGATACAAATTTGTCATCAGCAAATTTCACCAGTCAGTAAAATATAGGGCCACTTTAAAACTTTCGCATTTGGCGACAAAGTCAAAGCCTAGAGAAGGCCCTGTTTCATATCAAAATTAACATTACTACTTATTCTTCTCAATGGTCAAAAGACTTTAAACATTTACATGTAGTTAATAGGATAAAGAAAATTTAACACTTCTTTTTAACAAATCTTTATATTGGTTACAATCATTTCTTGTGATGTAGAAAAAGTAAGTTGTTAGTTTGTAACACTAGGAAGGAACTATTTATGTATTCGAGTTATTTGTAAACACTAGTTAAAACATGTAAAATAAAATAATTCCTAGACTTTCATTTAAGGATAAATGTTTATCCCTTTCTAAATTTGTGTGATTGATGAATTCAAAAATATTTTCTATTTTTATGCTCATAGTGCCTTCTATAGATTCTGAGTTGGACAAAACAAATTTTGTTTATTGAATAATGTCTAATTGATTCTCAGGGGTGTCCTTCTTTTTGTGACTGCCACTAATGTGTTCTTATTATGTCTCTTCTAAATACACCACTCCCTCGATAACTCACTCCCTGATAACTTGTGAACCTGCTTATAATGTGGGATCAGATGTGGATCCCATTTTTAAAACCAGAAAATACCCCCCAAATTGATGCTATTTGTTGAACTTGAAGAAAATCCTGCTCAAAATTGGTAATGAAAACTTGATATATGGCTCATTTTGTCAAAAACGGTAGATAGGACCTGGAAATTTTAATCAACATCATGAAATACCACTTATAATAAGAAGTCATATAATTAAGTGCCCACAATGTTTTGATGTCAGACTAACAGAACCATTTGTTGTTTTGTTGCACTAAATGAAAAGCTGGCCTCCTTTTCTATTATCATGTTAATTACATTTTCTGAATTACATGTAAATAAAGGAGGTAGAATTTACAAAAATGTTAAAAGCTTACAAATCCTACATGCTTAAGAACCAACAACAACTTTAGGTCCAGTCCAGTATTTCATATGATTTTATGAAAATATGGATTTGTTTGATATTTTTTTAATTAGCTAAAAGACCATTTTTATTGAAGTCTGTCATTGCTAAAGCTTTTTATTCAAATCAAATTTTGACTTAGATTATTAATCACCTTGTTATTCAGTCAGTGTAAGCTGTTGTTTTCATCAACATGTTTAGAACACTGGAAGTTCACATCAGTGCAAATTAATGTGCCAGGGCAGCTAAAATGGCGTACATGCAGAATACACCCACACACACCTGAGTATTTTTTTCTATGAGTGGGTGATTCATTTTTCTTTGGGTTTCCTTCATTTTTCCTCAACCATTTTTACTTGTCACCATGTATAGCTATTTGTCTGCTGTAAAATGACAACAACAACAACAGCTACACCCGTATTGCTGATGATGCCTTAACTTTCTTGTGTGATTTGGTGCCGGCTTGTTAGATCAGTTTGTCTTACACTTAACCTATTTCTCATCATGACTACTGATGAAACTTTTCCAATACAGCCTTCATCACATGACAGAAAAACACTATCATTTTCTTGGTGTGGGATCCTCATTTGCATAATTTCTTATAGAAAGAACATCAGCAGACATAACAGAAGAAATTCTACCTATTTACGCCCAGTATAAATAAGCTGCCCATATATGTATCTGGAATACTACAAAGACTGTAGGCCTAAGACACTTTCAATGTGATTTTAGTAGTTACCCATGGCCTTGCCCAAATTATCGTATTTACTGTGTGATGGGAAAAGAAAGAAAGGCAGCTAATGGTAGTTACCTTACCTCAACATTCTCCATAATAAGAAGGTAGGCTTGCATGAATGGACTTTTCCATTTAGGAAATCCCAGGAGATCCCTGATGGCATTAAAACATCAGGAAATGTGACTGAGTGTTTTGCTTCTGTGTACCATTAAGGAAACAGATGGCATGATGATGTTTTGAGTGAATATTGACCGAAAATGGATTGTACTGTTTCACTGAACTAAATAAGAAAATACTACTGAAAATCAATTACAGTATTTATTAAAGTATTGTGCCCCAGTTTGAACTTAACTTTTTTATCATATCCACCTTTCAAACGTATGGCACCATACATACTAACTTATAAGTTGAGGCAAACTGTTAACAGTAAGATCCTGGTCTGAGCAGTTCAAAGTCAGGATCATCTAATAAGCAAGTATATACAGTAAGTCTAGATTCATGAAGATGGCAGATTGTTCCATTAGTATATATATTGTTCAGAAGTATGATAATTTCATAGTGAAAGTGCAGTTACCATAATGTGCCAGTTCCACATCAGTAAACATTTAGATATGTGAAAAAGAAAGGCATGCTTCTGTTTGATGTTAATGATGGATATGACCTTGAGGTTGAAATGGTTATTTTAGGACATCAACCAGGAGAAATCCCCTCTCCCTGAGATCCACTGTCTACACAAATGCAGTTCCATGTGACATATCTACTGTCTACATAAATGCAGTACCATGTGACATATCCACTGTCTACATAAATGCAGTATCATGTCACATATCCACTGTCTACATAAATGCAGTACCATGTCACATATCCACTGTCTACATAAATGCAGTACCACATCACATATCCACTGTCTACATAAATGCAGTACCATGTCACATATCCACTGTCTACATAAAGGCAGTTACCATGATGTGACAGATCCACTGTCTATATAAATGCAGTTGGGGCCCCAAGTGCTTGCGTGGTCTAAAGTCCTCACCATTACAGATCACTGCCATCTCACCTGTCTGCATTGGTTCGAGTCTCAGGCTTGGCCAATGAGGGCACATGAGAAAGCTTGTCAGTAGCTTCTCGTGGGTTAGTGGTTCTTTCCAATGTGTTCTGGGTTCTTCCTCCACCATTAATACTGGCCACTATGTATAGCCTATCTTTTGCTGAAAAATGGCATTAAACTCTACAACAACAACAAGAACAACAACATAAATGCAGCTACCATATTGTGGACAGATCCACTGCCTATATAGATTCTATTTTGTTTGGAGTGTTTTTTACCACCTCTTTTGTTTCACTTAAATATGTAAACATTTCATATAAGTTTGCAATTATTCACATTCTGTAAAGAGTTTTTAGTTTTTAACATTTCATAGTTTTGAATAGGACACAATTCATAGATTTTTCAGTTGTGCACATTTCATAATTTTCAGTTCACATTGTAAGAGTTTTTGTTTGTTCTATGCACATGGTGAGCA